AAGTGGCTATTCTTTTTTTCTTCTTCATATGGTACTATACTCTTGGAAGCGTCGGATTCTAGTTGATTAAGTTGTTTCTCACAGGGCTATGGGATGACAATTCTGATACTGCTATACGTGTACACTTAATTGAACAGTTAAGTAAACACATGGTAGATGGTGAGAGCCAGGCTTCTCGCTTTTAGAATTGGAGCTTACAAATAAGCAAGGGGAGGAGGCTAGACTTGTGATAATTATGGTAATGGATTCAAGTTGGAGAGTCAGCATGAATCAGTATGAACTCACTGTTAGCTTAAAATAGATGTGGATGGTTACATATAGAAATATTTATAGATATGTGTTTATGCACTAGTTAATATGCATACATGTATTTCCTTGCATTGTCAGCTGAGAGGGCCTAGAAGCAGCAACGCCCTAATAACAAAGAATTTATCTAGTGCCCAGATCTTGGTTCTAATATGATTCTCCAATATAATGAATTTCAAGTACTTGGAGAAATGAAATTTTACTACAAATATAGTCATTATTAAATAAAATATATTATTATATATTGCAAGTACATGAATTTGTACATTGTATATTTTGCAAGTTTGTGAACTTTATATAAATGGCATCAGAATGTACGTATTTTTCTGCAGCTTTCTTCCCCCCTCTCAACTTGTCACATGAGCTATACACAAAGTTTGATATGTGGACTTAGTTTATTCATTTTTATTGTTGAATAGTAATATGCCAAACTCATATGATACAATTTATTCATCCATTTTCCTATTCATGGATGTTTAAGATATTGTAAAGAGAGCCACTATAAATATTGCTGTAGAGGAGCCACAAAAATATTTTTTGCATGACAGTCCATCCTCTGTGGATTGTTTCCTTGTGTTTTCCTAGATTGAACTTCAGTATTGACACCAGTATGAGAGGAGAGAAGCTAGCAGGGGCAAGGAGGAAATTCAGAGGAGAATGGAAGACAGCCTGCAAAATTAGTGGCCACTCTGTATCTGACTGCTTGAACAGGCAGGCTTTCTCCAAGGCATATATATAATTAAGAAGGATAATTGCTGCCTATGTTAGTAAGACAATCTTTAACTTGACCAGATAATGCCAAATTGCTTTACAAATTAGTTACACAATTTATATTCCCACCAGGGGGGCTTAAGAGCTGCAGTGCTCCATACATATGCCAAGATTTACAATTTTTAGACTTTTAAATAATGTCTATTTGAAGAATGAGAAATGGCTGTTATTGTGATTGTGGTTTTAATTCATATTTTCCTGACACTCAGAGATTGAGCATATTTTTGTGTTTATTTGGATCATCTGTCAATTGTCTTTTGCTGGCTCCTCTAATTAATTGTTTGTCCTTCTGTTATTAATATATTGAGAATTCTTTATAAATCGCATACTGATTCTTTACAGTTAAATGGGTCACATCTATACCAGTATGTTGCTTCTCTTACAAATAATGTCTTCTGATTAATGGACATCTATAATTTCAATGTACTAGAATTTATCAAGATTTTGCTTTAGGACTTTTAAAAAAAATTGCTTTAAGAAATTCTTCCCTATCCTAAGATCATAAATACATATCTCTGTATATACTTTGCACTGTTAACATGGTATTCCTTTTTCACCTTGTTACTTTTAGCTTATTTGTGTCTTTATATTTAAAATAAACCTCATAGGAAGCATACCATTGGATCTTGTTTTTATATTCAGTCCGATAATCTTTGCTTTTTAATTGAAATGTTTAGTTCATTTATGTTTAATGTAATTATTGATATGGTTGGGTTTAAGCCTACTGGCTTGCTATTAATATTTGTCTTCTATTTATTCCTTTTGTTTTTTATTCTTCTGTCCCTCCTTGCCTACTTTTTTTTTTTTTTTTAGTTAATCTACTATTTAGTGTTTCTTTTTATTTCCTTGACTGACTTCTTAGCTTTAACCCTTTTTAAAAAGTATTTTTTCCAAAGTTAACACAATGTTATGATTTATACTTTATTTATTATTTTTGTATCATCCCATACTTAATTTCAAAATAATTTATATTTTACTGTATGTTATTGTGTGCTTATTTTTCACTTTCTGGGGAAAGGATTTGCATCTTAGATGTTTCTCATACTTATTATTACTCATTCATTCAACAAATATGTATTAAACATCTACTATGTACCAGGGACTGTTCCAGGTATTGGAAATATAGCTGTGAACAAGACAAACATGAAGCCCACAGTTTGGGGAAATAAAAAAGTATGTAAGAAAGTTTTCTTAGAAAGGAAATGTTTGAACTGAGCCTTGAAGGCTGAGCAGAAATTGGTCAAGTGAAGAAAGGGATCCTAGATGGTTCCAGGTTGTGGCAGTAGTGAATACAAAAACTAAAAAGCAGGAGGAATAAACAGTTTGTCCAGGGAGTAGTAAGATATTCCATATGGCTGGAGTGCAGCATTCAATAATACAAATAGAGGGTGGAGAGTAGAGTATGCAGCTTGTCCAGAGGTTTAGGGAGTCTCTGGTAGCTGCTAATATTCTCATTGAATAAGGAATCTACAGCTGGGTCTATGGTATTTGTGTCATTAGTATTCATTAACTGCGGCTGGGCACAGTGGCTCATGCCTGTAATCCCAGCACTTTGGGAGGCTGAAGCAGGAAGATTGCTTGAGCCCAGGAGTTTGAGACTAACCTGGGCAACATGGCAAGACCTCATCTCTACTAGAAATACAAAAATTAGCTGGGCATGGTGGTGCACGCCTGTAGTCCCCGCTACTTGGGAAGCTGAGGAGGGAGGATTGCTTGAGCCCAGGAGGCAGAGGTTTTGATGAGCTGAGATCGTGCCACTGCACTCCAGCCTGAGCGACAGAGTGAGACCCTGTCTCAATTTTTTTTTTTTTTTTTTTTTTTTGGTGGCTCATGGCTGTAATTCCAGCACTTTGGGAGGCTGAGGCAGGTGGATCACCTGAGGTCAGGAGTTCGAGATCAGCCTGGCCAATATGGTGAAACCCCATCTCTACTAAAAATACAAAAATTAGCTAGATGCAGTGGCATGTGCCTCTAGTCCCAGCTACTCAGGAGGCTGAGGCTGGAGAATCGCTTGAACCCGGGAGGCAGATGTTGCAGGTAGCCAAGATCGCACCACTGCACCCCCGCCTGGGCGACAGAATGAAACTCCGTCTCAACAACAACAACCACAACAACAACAACAACAACTTTAAATTCATTAACAATGATTAAAGAGCTTTTCAGCAACTACTAGCTCTAAAACATGTGCGCTTCTCCATCTGACTACAAGTCTTCAGTTTCCACGTTTGGGGATTTATCTTTTTGAGATGAAGACATTATGATTTTCAAATTCTGTTGTAAGAAATACGTATATTATTCCAGAGGAGTTGCTTCTTGTAATATAATACAAGCAAGGGCTATTGTAGGTTATTGGAGGAGGGAAGGAATATCAGTTTCCTGTATCCAGAGTGCCTCAGATGAGATAGATGCTACTCATTCTCTATATACTCTTGAGTAAGTCCTTCCTCTCTCTGGGCCTCTGTTTCCTCTTCTGTATAATGAGAAATGTGTAAAAGATTGCATCTGAGGACACTTCCAGCTCTGCCATGCCATGGTTTTATCAGCCACTAGCAACTTGATGG